ACTGAGTTGGAAATCAAAAAAGCAAATATTAGGCTTAGATGGTATGGAATCCACGATAATTTATTTTCAATTTCATTGCGCATTATTTCTTATGCGTATCGCAACGAACGACCTGAATGTACTTGCCACGTGCAACATAATTAATATCTAATAATCGGACAGGATATCGTTAGAATTCCAATCTTATTTCCATCAAAACGTGTTTTGCGTTTCTTTATTTTTTCTCCAGATTAGTTGCGGTGTTTTATTTTACTTACTACTATTTTCTCACGAACTACCGAGTTGTTTAGCCACGTTAATCTTTTTAATAACATTTAAAAAAATAACACCGTATTGCAAAGAAATCATTCATAAAGTTCATAATTATAATTCTCATCAGTTTATATTAAATTTTTTAAATATTAGAACTCAGTTCAATTTGTCTAAACAGAAGCATGCAGAGATAATAAGTTTACTTTGCGAACGCAAAACGTCTCCTATGCATAAAAACGAGCCCTAACCAACACCAATGTGCCGCATATACGCATCGACGCACGTGTCAATCTGCCGTACGGCTGCGTTGAGCGCAGTGTCGAATTACAACCTGAATTCTTCACGATGTTTCTGCTTATTCCGTTGAAAATTCGTCAGACTCTCTGTTAAATGTAATAAACGTAACTCGAAAGTACAAGAAGGATAGCGTAGATCGAAGTTCGTTACCCTGTACGCTAGAAAATTTCAAGTCATAATTCACCGTTAATAATACTACATATGATATTAAATTTTTTTCTAAAGGAATACAGTTGTTAATCTATTACCGCATTATACAAGTCTCACGTTGTAAGGCAACAATCTTACGAACCGGTAGTGTTCGTGCTTTGTAATTATCCGCAGTAATGCACTACAATGTTACACACACATTCGAGTAGTTTTCATTGTAAAAAAAAAATACCTGCATCAAGGCTCCTACGTGATATTGGAACAATTAATGCAATTAGAAGTAAAATTTAAAATTCATAGCACGTTTGCTGAATGAAATTTATATTCAACAGCAACTTTAGCCAATGTCAAATTTGAGAATGTACATACTCATCCTACTATGAGATTCTAGACTTAATACTTCTTTCTAGGATCCCAAGAATCTTGTAATTTTTAATTTACAATTTTAATTTTAATTTTTAATTTAGATTTGCTCCACATTCAGTAAGTGTTCTAATACTTACGAATGAGAATGTATTGAGAACTGTTACTTTCTTGAAAAATACGTATCGCGGGTATTTATAGAAATTCGCGTACTTATACCGACCTAAGAATACAAAAAAGTGTTATGCAAGGCAGGCGAGGCGAAAATAATTTATTTGCCTTCTGTTCGTGATCTTCGTGCATCGCCTCGGGGATGTTGATACGTAAAAAATGATATTTTTATTTATCCTACCCGGTATGAAACGAACTATTCGTCGTAAAAGTAATTTACACTCTCTTTAATCCTCAATTAATCGCGTCAGGTTATAATGACCCGATATGAATTCCATCTCGTTATTATTCCGCTATTTTAGGTTAGGTTTAAGCACGTGTCTGACCCTCACACTCTACTCTCCTGAAATCGCTTCTTCTCTTAGTTAAAAAAGAGTAAATAAATTTAAAAAAAATAAAAAATGTTTTGAATTAATCTAACAAGTTTAAGTACAACAATAAAAATAAAGATATTTGTTACTTAAAAACCATATTTCTTGCAAAACATTCAATTTAAATATATTCCTTGACATGAGTACGTAAGTATAGTCGGTGGAATCGATATAGTGAGGTCGTACGTTTTACACAAGTTCATGTTCGATTTGTGTCTTACGTTCAACAAACCAGATTGTACGTCAGAGTAAAACAAAGCAGTAAAACGATCGATGAGAAATCTGATTCATTTTCTCGTTAGAATAAAAATAAGTTAATGATAGATTGAAAGTGATATATCATCGTTTAAACGATCTTCGTGAAATAAAGTCATGTTCCGATAATATTCGAGTATCGTTATGCCGATGCATAATTTTAAATTATTACTTCGAACAGGAAATCGCTTCGGTATTGACATCCAACGATGAACATTATTCAATAATAATGCGTTTTTCTACGATCTCCTAAGTTTCTCTTATTACAAGAATAAGAATCATTTTAGCCATCGAAAGTAGACAATTCATTGATAACTATGCTATTTTCGTCACAATTATTTTTCCACTCATTTCTGGTTATGTCATTTGAAGACGATTGCGATTCATAAAATGAAATTTGCCAGGACAAAGGGAAATTGTAAATGGGCAGTACGCATGCGCATTGCACATGCGTATAAATGATGCGCAACGCACGTGCGCGACCTGCTTTCATTCCGAATTACTTATTTCACGTTTTGATACTCTTTTTGTGTACCAGGACTTTTGACAGTGAACAATTAGTCGGTCGATTTATTAACAGAAATATTTAAGGAGCATTTAAACTTGTATGTTTTCCGATTATACTGTATGCAAGTAATTAAAAAGCTGTTATCTTTGTAAATATGAAAGATAATCAATGTTTGTACGCCTTTCATGTAAGCTTGGTGATTTATCGGTTTGTGGACGCAAATGTAATCATCGATTATCATCATCAAAATAAAAAATAATTATTTTGATGTCAATAAATTCTATTATAATTGAGAAGGAATGTACGTTATAGAAGTTAAATAGCATTCAATAGATTTCGCTTGAAAGTAGAAATTTACGTGACAAAATGTTAATTTATATTTTTATTTTTAAGATTAAAAGTACATTTATAATTAAATTTAAAGAGGCACTGAATGAAAAATCGAATCAAATAGCAACTTCAACCATAAGCTTCGCACAATTCCGCGCATTTTCAATTGATTACTAGACCAGAACGGAACCGAGTTTCCTGGGAAGAGTTTGATCTCATCAAACATTATCCTTACATTGCACATCGACTATTATTATACAACACCGGAAGAACAATGAATTATTTTCCCTCTTGAAAAATGGCAAAAGCACTTATCAATATCAAAATTAACACCAAGTCACAAAATAACGCATTAAAACATATAACAACCATTTTATAATTCGAGTTTGAATATGTAAAACAATTCTAATTTGAAATAAGAAACTTGCAAAATCGATATCGAATTATTAACAATCGTCTTTTATCGGAAATTCGCGTTCATTCACCTTCACGACATTTACTTTAAATTTCACGAGTGCCGACAAATTTGAATTTTATGAGGTAAGTGCAGCGCGCGCATGCATCCCGATGCAAGGAAATTTCCACGATTTCTCTAAAACCCTTTGACTGATATGTATCGCAAATAAACAGTTAAGATTTTCACATTAGAGATCGAACAAAATTGGAAGAGCATAGAATTCCATTGATAAGTTTTTCATTAAAAAAGGTATGCTAGCCTAATTTTGACGACAATATTTCCCGCCATTCTTTGCTGTCACATCAATGTACAGTATACAACCTCTTTATATGAGACTTCTTTAAAACTATTGTTACTTCTTCTACGACCGTTTATTGAAACTGCTGTATCTTTGAAGTAAAGATTTTCAAGTACTCTATATGAAGTTGCATTAAGAGGTTAGGTAGTAAAAATACATAATATACTACTCGCAAAAAGATACCGGTAACTAAGCAAAAGGTGAATTAATTATCATAATGAATAGCACGCGTTCTGTACTTTGCATAATTTGTACACTAACGTTGCTATTTCGTAGATACACTTTTATACTAATTACTGTTCGCAATTCGTTAAAGGTTACTCACAAAAAATACTGCGTGCCATCTACTAATTGCTTTCGCAATTTCAATTTCGTTACTTTCGCGATTTATGATGCTGCAATCGAACTACACTTCGAAAGCATAGAATCTACCACAGAAATGTTAAACGTGCAAGATCTTTTTCGCAAAGGATTATGAGAAAAACATTGATTACGTCAATTACGAAGAAACCCTTACGTACACACGATTAATACGATGACTAATTCTGGGCGCGTTCAAGATCAATATTGAATCCAATATGGAATGAACTTGGGCAGAGACAAACTCCTATGACGGCATTATCTATGATAACTGTAAACGTTACGTGGTTATGATTTATCATGTAATACAGATCGATACAATCGATACTACTAAAAACGCGAGTAATCGATATAAAAATATCATTAAGTACATTCATGTAATGAAAACTTTATTTCTTAATCTGGTACATTTAATTAAATTTTATTATTAATTACAAATAATACTTTGAATATCATTAAAGTGATGATTCTGTTCAATATAATTCTCATTGTTTTATTTTTAGACACTTTATTCCCTAATACATGCTCGACGTAGTAAAATCGATAGCAATAGATCGAGACATGGAAACCGTGACTTTGCTACAGTAACTAGTAAAGCATGCTCGGCTACTTACTCTACTCAATCTCGCTTATCAGTGTTTCTGAAATATCAACACGTGCCTACCACGAAGTTTTGACAACCAAACACGCAACTGTGACTGTTTTCTTGTTTTTAACAATAAAGGTTAACGAAACACACACGACGTCTCATAAATCTATGATTCGCCGCTAGTGTGAATACGTTTATTTGATCAATTACGGACGTTGCGGTGATCGATCAAACTTATAAATAAAACCACTAACTCGTACAATAGTGCTAGTTAAATCGTTCTCCAGGCATCGATGAATTTTGACAGAAACGCTTTAAGGTTTACACGCGGAGAAAAGATGTCAGGGAGTAGGAAAAGGAAGCGTTACCATAGAATAAAGAGAAAACAAATACTTGACAACTTGTTCTACTTTCGAGACGAACGGCAAGTTCATGTGAGGCCGCGGGTTTATTTTCACGGATTTTAAATTCCGTGTAAAAGTGTTATGAGACGATGCCAAAATCATGTAACGATCAAATGCTTACTACCTACGATTTACACGTGCAAATTAAATGGTAATATGTCTAAAGAGTTGACAATAGTTAAAAAAATGTTTTACCTTATTGGTAGAAGGGTTGTCAAAGTGTAGAACACCCTTAAAAATGAGCGACGTGTGAATGAAGAAAACGAACGACGATTGATTCAATTGACAGCGTCCCAAAAATACACCCAACACACCCGAAAGTTCGCAGGAGACTGATCGTGTCGTTACGGCGTGCCGTCTTTCGTTCTCTTTCCTTCTCTCTCACTCTTTTTTCTATACGCAAGCGTATAGCACAACACCGCTTACGGATCGTTGATTGGCGCATGTCTTCCGAACGCTTTGTACTAATTATACATGAATATTTTAATTTGTAAAAATATAATATGATCCTATAATTACTTAAATTTATTAATCTTTTTATGTTTCGTAATATAAAAATCTATGTATACAGTATTAACAGAATAAAAGTGGATTGGAATAACTAAACTAAAGTACATAAAGTAAGTGGAAAATTTAAAATTATTAATTATTAAATATTCGGTAAAATATAAATGAGTTCATAATTTTTGAGAAGATTATTCGGGATGTAAGAGTATATAAATTAAAGTGGCATTAATAATTATGTGTGCGCTGTTAAAAGTAGAAAACCAATATCAAAGATTTCGTGATTGTAAGTAAGATTCAAATTTTATAACGAGGAAAAAGTTCAAATTTAGTTTCTAAATTTTCCAAGCATAGCAGCACCGTACACTCTTACATATCTTACCTTATAAAATTGAAAATATATTGTTATTACTTATAATACAACTAGCGTACCCTGATGGATTCTCTAAGTTCTTTGCAGTAATGTTTAGTACAGTTTTTCAAGATTACTATTTTACCAAGTATGAATCCAGCTGATTTATTATATTTATTTATACTTAAGGATGGTACCTATACACAACAAACAGTAGCGTATCCGCGACGACAATAACTTCTACGGTTCACATGACAATCGAACCCTACGTTAAAATACTGAAAGAATTGCTCTCAACTGAATACATTGAGCGAGCCACAGCAAATAAACGGAAATATCTACCGCTGGTATTACGATGATCTCCTCATGCCGATAACAGAATTGCTTCAACAGTTTACCAGCGACAACGAAGATGACGATACCGGCAATATCGACGGTAGTCTAGTAGAAAAGCTATATCGAGTTTTCTCGTAGACAAGATACAGAACCTTGGTTTTATATCTCGTCTGTGTCCTAAGTTCAGTTTGAAGCCTTATTTTTACTTTGTCGACCTTTACTCTTACCTGTGAAGTAGAATAACACAAGCTCACTAATTTATAATCTTTTCACAAGGTACAATCCTATACTTCGTCTGTGTCCTTATAAAGACAATTAAATTTAATTTTTTGTATAATTATGAATGTCTAAAACATTTATACTTCGAAAAAAATAATTACATTAAAAATTTTTGTTCATCATTAAATTAAAGCTATAAATATTATTGTTAGTTTTAACTTTTGTTTTAATTCACTGATGTAATTGCTGTCAATAAATGCATAAACACAAGCACAGACAAGGTATAGAATCGGTATTTCAGAACATGCGATCCAAAGTCCCATAAGATGATAAACGTAAGTTCATATTGCATATTTTTCTATTTAAAAATTTGTTATCTATATCGCTTGAAATTTTTCATGTATGAAAATCATTTGTTTTCATTATGGTTTCCACTGATCACATGATTTTTGACGTTATAACGACAAATATATATGCATATACATGCGTCGTTTCGAACATGGCCGCGGTGGAGTGCGAATCGAAAGACAACAGCTCGTCTGACTTATCGAAAACGCCGGTATTTTCGGATGAAACCGTCAAATCGATTGAGGAACATGAAACATCTGGAATACCGTTACAATCTTCGTGGACATTTTGGTTGGGCAAGTGAGGAAGCCTATTTGTTTTTTACCTTGCAAAATTTTAAATTAAATGCACAGTATATCATTACATACCAATTTCCTTTTTTGATTTCGTTCTTTCACGAAACGTCATATAAATATATAACAGAATTTATTATTTAATCCCATGAAATTATTGTTTGACAAAAAAATTATTATAAATTCAGAGAAAAAAAGTAATGACGTTTAATGCTGTCAGCATCATTCCTTTTTTATTTATACGTATGTATTATATATTAACGTTAGACGTCAACGCATATAAAACTCTTTGTAGTAAAACCAAAAAATCAATTTCGTTATCTGCGCATTCATTAACAAT